TAATCCTCCTCTGTGCTCGGGGCTGCACCTGTGCAAACGAGGTCCAGAGGGGTCTTCCAAAGCAGGCTTGGCTGGAGGCAGGCTTGGCAATCTTCTGAATGTTATGCAGTGCTTTAGCAAGACACTGAACAAAGCAGAGGGAAGTGTAGGTGCTGTTTGCATGAAATTTATGTAGATTCTGGAGGGACTGAACAATTAATTACCTGGACAGGAGATCCTGTGAGTTTCTAAATAAGCCACAAAGCAAACCACTTGATTCCAAGCGATTTCAAAGCTCGAGAAAGCAGCTGAGATGAAAATGATGGCTATGAGAGCATTGCTGCAGGAGAGAAAAGGGAGTTTGCTTTAACTCATTTTTCCAAGGGGTCTACTTCACTTTTGAGAGAGAGAGAGAAAACTGAGCCACATGGCCCACGGACCCTTGAATCAACATTTCTTCTCTTATGGAAGCTGCCATACAGCAATACATTACAGGTATTTTTCTCCTTAACTCCCTGCCTCAAAGCATTGTTTTCCTGATATCAGAGTTCACCTCTTTCACTTCTTTTGGGAAATGGGTGGGAGGCTCTGGGCAGTGCAGAGCAGCTATTGCAGCCCAAGAGATACAAAGGTTACAGAGCAAGAGAAGTGCCTGGACACTAAATAGAGAGACCCAGTTTTCTGCAATCTGCTATGTGCCAGACTGAGGAGATCCTGAAGAAAAAGTCAACACAGAAGCCTTCTGGATCTTTTGCAGATAGAATACAGAGGAGCAGTACCTGGTCTGTACCTTAGTAATGAGACTGGTGGCAATCCAGAAATGTTCCCACCAAGTGTGGTCACTCTGCCTACGCAATGCTCTCCCTCAGCTGTCCCAAACTTCAAACAGATCAAGTGCGCTCTTCCTCTCTTTTCTTCACCTCTGTCTTTTGTAAGGCTTTTAGGCTGCATGGTCTCCTTGGTTTCAGTGAATGAATGCTTTTATTTGCATCTTTGGTTAACCTGACATGCATTAAGAGTGATTTCAAGATGACTGAATAACAACAAAGCATTCTCCACCCAAATACTCAGTGAAAATATAAACCACAGCACCTTAACAGTGCTGTAATACGCACCTCCTGTGCATCAGAGAATAACAGCATGTTCTTCACAGGGGCCAGGGCATGAAGAAATGCCTGGTGATTATTGAGTAACAGGGAAGGCACTCTGCCAGCCCCAAAACACTGGGAGCCATGGATCATTCCAGAGAGCAATCAAGCCTCTTCCAGAGGCGCTTCTGAGACAGGATTCATAACAGCTTCTAATTAGCTGAAACCTGTGTTTGTCCTTGGCAACAGCAATACAAGTTTCAGCGTTATAAAGACACTTTGTTTCATGGAGGACAGGGGTGAGGAGTGTTTTTTATTTTGTTGGTTGTTTTTTATAATTTGAGTATTACAAATTGTAGAGTGAGGGACAGGACATTTCAAGCAAGAGTGTTTTTGGAGGCTGAACTGTAATTTAATACTGATTCAGAAGAAGATTGGAAACCAATTATTGTAGGGAAATAACAAAAAATAAAACCTTTCTGTGGTGAGGGGCTTTTTACCTGTTTGGTTTTTTTTTGGCATTTGAAGTTCAATGTATGCATGGGTGTTAAGATTTTCCAGGGAGAGACTCAAGTAATACAATACTATGTCCATTCATCCCCAGAAGATCAGCTCTGTTCTGGGAAAATCAGGGGTACTCTTGAAGCATAAGTACAACTACTCTTTGCTGAGACAACTGGGAAAGATGCAGAAGAAGGGAGGTAGAAGAAAGGAAAAGGCAGACAGACGAGGGATTTGATGGCCATGATATCAGAATTTAGCGAACCAGGGACCCATGGGATCATTTGACTTTGGAAGATTCTGCTTTCCATAAGGGCTGTTTTTGTTAAGGAATATCTTGCAGTCTTTGACAGTTTATTGAAAAGCATAAAGTAGTAAAAGAACACCAGATGTCTGCTTCACTGTCAGACTGCTGGAGAATGAAGTTCTACTTTCAACACTCTTGTCAAGAATGAGATTCAGATTAGCCAGACTAAGGAAGATTTATTAAAAAAAAAAAAAAGGACTTGCAAGGAAAGGAAAACTGATTTATTCATTTATTCATGGATGTGGTTGAACTTCTGGAAAAACCTGCATTAGATTAACCACAGATGTTAAGAAATTTACCCCAACAGGTTCACTTTTGTTAGCAAGTGTATGACTATAAATAAGTTTTGTAAAGCTGTCTCTGTAAGGATTGCAGAGTTCAGCTCTGCCTTTGGTACGGCTGGAGGTTTTACATCTCTTCTGGTTTACTCTGCAGCCACAGACCTGAACTAAGAGATTCCTCAGTGCTATATGCCACTGCAAAAAACCACAGAATAGCACTTAGTTCTTTAGTGTGAATGCTGAGATGGCTGGGTTGAGCAGTCTCAGACCCTTAAAAGAGCAAAGTCACCAAAGTTCTACTGCACTGGTAATATTTTTGTTGATGTTGAAAATTTGCTTGGATACTACAGCAGTGGGCTCTACAGAACATGCTCCAGAAAAAGAAAGAAACCAAATATTTGCACATGTTGGAAAGAGAGTGAGTCAGCAATTGAGTGGGAACATTAATCAAAACTCAACAATGAGCAACATTGTGATGAGTCTTGCTTCATGAGTGGCATTCACCAGAAATTTCTCCCAAAATTTAAGAAGTAAATTTATCTGAAAATTCTTTTGCTCAAAAGAAGTGCAAAAACAGGTAGTGTAAAATTGTTATTATTTTAAACTGCAGTTTTATTCAGAGAACTAGAAAGAAGACTCCTCATTCACTCCTGAGACCTCATTTGGCTACATGAATGCTATGGAGAGAGACAAATATGCTAAAAAGACTCTTGGGCCACGTTATAACTCCTGCCTGGAAAAGTGTTGCTGTCCATACAAAAAGAAAGAAGGCAGTGATTGGAATCAGGGAGAGACAAGCCAGAGAAATATTTTTTAAAGAATTACAAGAGTTTAGACTAATCAAACAACTCAGTTTTCATGGTTATCTGGGTAGTCATTTTGATACCCTTCCACATTGTACATGCAAACTAGTGAAATTAATATATCCTGTTGATAATATAAAGCCATCAGTCACGCAGTTGTGTGTCCAAAAAACAGATAAACAGCATTGTTTAAAAATTAGTGTCGAAATTAAGCAGCCTTCTATATCAATAGCATTCTGGAAGAAGTCCAGACCTGTCAACACAGGAACATGCAATATGATTTAATGACTACAGCAAAAAAAGTTTGTGTCCAACCCATCTTTAATGAAGATGGAAAACTGTTAGTGTTCCCACACAGAATATAACATGTTTAGTTTTCATGTGATTTTATCCTGGAAACACGTATTGTTATTGTGAAATCCATTAGCAAATCTTTGCTAAAGAGGGAGAACATTGTTAGTATTTCTTCTGTTTATTCACTGAAAATTTCTTGACAATGGTTCTTCTTGACTGACCTGATCTTCTTCTCTGACAAGGTGAGCCACTTTGCAGAGAAGGGAGAGGCTGAGAAAGTTGTCTACCTGGACTTTAGTAAAGCCTTTGACACCATTTCCCACAGCATTCTCCAGAAGAAACTGCCTGCTCATGGCCTGGATGTGGTCTTGCCTGGGTGAAAAACTGGCTGGATGGTGGAGCCCAGATCGGTGATGAATGGAACAAAATCCAGTGGCCGGGCACTAGCAGAGTTCCCCAGGGCTCAGTACTGGGGCCAGTCCCATTTAATATCTTTGCTGCTGATCTGGATGACAGGATCAAGAGCACCCTCAGACGGTTTGTAGATGACACCAAGTTGGTCATGTGTGTTGATCTGCTGGAGGGTGGAAAGGCTCTGCAGAGGGATCTGGGCAGCCTGGATTGATGGGATGAGGCCAATTGTGTGAGGGGTAACAAGGCCAAGGGCTGAGTCCTGCACTTGGATCACAACAAGCCCAGCATCACTACAGGCAGATAGGAGTGCCTGGAAAGCTGCCCTGGGGAAAAGGGCCTGGGGGTGCTGAACATGAGCCAGCTGAGCCAGGTGGCCAGGAAGGCCAATGGCAATAGTGTGGCAGCAGGACCAGGGCAGGGATTTTCCCTCTGTACTTGGCACTGGTGAGGCCACACCTTGAAAGCTGTGTCCAGTTCTGGGCCCTTCACTTCAAGAAAGTGACCTAATTGGTTCTAGTTGGACCTAGAAGTATTAGTATATCTGGAACAGTCTCAGTCTTCCTGTACTTTATTAATTGACTTAAACCCAAGTAAAATGTTTTATCTGAATTAGTACATTGTATCTGATCAAATGTCACTACTGGTGTCTTCTAGTTAACAAGAAATAAATAGAATTACATTCCAAAATTAATTGTGATGAAATATTTCATATATAGGAAATAAAAAGTTGGGAAATAATTCCTATTTCCTATATTAATTTAGCATCTTTTGGAAGCTGCAGCTATGTGGTAACAATGTAAAGTGAATATTGATTCATCCTATATTCCTGGCAAGCTTGATCATTATATGACATTTGGAGAACTACTTCATTTTAATAAGGAGATTTTTGCCCTGGCACCTCTCTTTCCAAACACAAGATGGATTTTGTTGTTGTTTTGTTTTGTTTTGTTTTGTTTTGTTTTGTTTTGTTTGGAAGCATAAACTGTTTTTTGTTGTTGTGTCATGGTTTGGTTTGGTTTGGTTTGAAGAGGCTATGTTTGGCCCTTCTTCATTTTCATCAATACCAGAGCAGCCAAAATGACTTGTTCAAACTTGTAAATTGAAAAAGTACAACACAGACCATTTTTGGTGTCCTGTTACTTTTGATCTAAAGGAGGACATTAGAGTCTTGTTACAGTGTAAATCTGATGTCACCAGCTTGTAACCAGCAGCTGAAACGCTGACCACTGAGTTACCTAAATCCTCGTCTCCAGGAGAACCCTTCAGAGGCTGTGGGGTGTTTTCCTGGGGCTTCCAGCCATGCCCCCAGCATGTGAGCCCACACTCACCCACGCTGGGTCACTGCCATTCCTGGGAGCCACAGGCAACTTCTGCTCCTGACTCATGGGCAAAGCCTCCTTTCCCCTCGAGTTTCTGTGGTACATGGAGTTCTTCTCACGGGAGGATTTCGGATGCACAGCTAAGAAGGGATAGATGAATTTCACCTCCTCCAGCAGCTACTCTCCTCTGAAACATCAGAGGAGGACCCTGATGATCTCTGAAAGACTTTGTACATTTTCAGAAATTTGATACAGTTTGTTTTCTTACAGGGAAGGGAAGGGAAGGGAAGGGAAGGGAAGGGAAGGGAGACAGAAGAGTGGGTGTGAACATGTAACTTCAGAAAAACCCAGTTAAATTTGCTGCTATTAATGGGCTTTTAACCCTATAGGACTGGAACATCAACAGCAAAATCATTTTGTGAAGTGTTTATTTAATGAGATGTTAGTATTGCAATGGCTTTAGTGGGTATAGGTGGAAAAATAAGTGATATGGAAAATAAGAGTGACACTTCCAAGTTGTTTGTCCCACCAACTGTTTTATTTCACCCAAGGAACTCTCCAAATATCTCAGCCTTGGCTAGTAAAAGTAGCTGTTGAAAAAATACTAGCAGAGCTCTGTGGAACAATGAACCAGAATTTTTTGGCACAGCAGAGAACAGATAGCATTCTGGGAGGTGTTTTCTGCTTCACTTTATGGAATTCATCACTATGGTAGTTATGCTTGTTGATATTGGTAAAGGGTGGCAGCTCTGATAAGGGAATAGTTTGTATTTGGTTATTTAGGCTGTGCCTTCCAGTTAGAGAACACAGTGAACTAAAAGGAGAATAATAAAGCAATGGAAGACATAAATCCCATATAAGGGAAAAAAAATCCACAAATATTTCAGTGTGTAAGGAAACTGCAAAAAATGCCCTTATTCTCACCAGAACAGATAGCTCTTTATGTTGAGTATTATTAAAATGGGATATAAACTTTAAAAAGAAGCTGCAAACAGCTTTTAGTAATGGCAAAATCAGATAAGTTATCTTTAGATATAGCTAGTATTTTACTACTCCATCATAGGTGCTACTACATTTTCATTTTGATCCTCTGAAAATATGCATAAATGAAATGGAGATACACAGCATCTCTGGTACTGATCATTTCCAGCCTTTTTCAGGCATCTGTAAATGTGAAACTCTGATAGCCTAAAGCTATATTGAAGGTTTATGGAGCAGAAACAACCAAGAAGCTGAGAGGACTTTTCTCCGTGGTAACCCAGATATTAAAATGGAATGATTTAGACTATTTGTATGTGGAATGTGCCCTCTGCCACAAGCCAATATGCATTAACATGGTGAAAAAGCACTAACAGAACTTTTGCTGGTGTTGCAAAGAAAAGAGTTCGAGAATTATTGGGACGGTATTTTCAATAGACACGGTACTGGCAAGGTAACAACACCCTTTCTTTGCTGGCATCTTCCTTCCTCTGATAAGCACAGCCCTGTCTGTAACCCCTTCATGGAAATCAAATTACACACTCCAGGAGCCTTTGGATCCTCAGATAAGGATCACCACAGACTTCTCAATATCTCTGTAAATGCACCTTTCTGGCACTCATGTCTTGTCTGTGCTCTGGATTACAATTCCAAACATGACAACTGAAAAAATTCTGTAATGGTTCCAAAATGCCAATATTGATTTTCTTTTAGTAGCATGACAAATGTGAAAATTAGGCAATACTATAAATAATTGCATGGAAGGCTTTTCTAAGCCAATCTCATAATCCCTGTTGTAAGTATCCTCCCAGGATTTTTCTTTCCACACTTGCCTTCCTCATTAATTCACAAATTCATAAGCAGCGGGAATGAAAGGACTATGAAGAAATCATCTGGCGTACTTTGGCCCAAATAATATCAAATACACCTAAATCATTCTAAATGGATGTTTGTCTGACATCTGTTGTAAATTTTTATACTATCCAAGCAAAATATTCCAGTTCTTGAGTGTTCTATTAGAAAGATTCTCAGTGTCTCAAACTTACGCTTCCCTCTCTGAAAATCCATTGCTCCTACATAGAAGAATGTGTAGAATATGCTATAGATGCTATAGAATTTTTATTTTTATATTTATATATTTTCATATTGTGTTTCTCATCTCCCTCTCTCTAAACTGAGTCTTTTTCTCTCCTGTAAGTCTCCTAGAGTTTATCTTGTCCAGCTGCCAAACCAAGGAAGGCTCTCCTATATTTGTCATTTGTGTTTATCTGATCAGTGTTTGTCTGTTTTCTTAATAGTACAGATTTCATGTCAAGTGAAGTAATAGTTGTATAGTTTTTGGTTTATGTCTGTTCTTTCCTTAGTAATGTACATTCTGACTTGCCCAATGTCCAACAAGCATTTCCTAAATCTGTAGTGAAATGTCTCTGCCCACATGTTTCTCAGTGTGTTTTGCACAAAGAGTTGTGAAGCTCCTTTATGGCCAAATAAAATAGAACAACAGGTGCCAGTCACTTTTAATGTAATTTATAAACACTTCCAAAGTGAATCTGCTATTTTATTTTGGGCCCACTTCAGAAGAAATTCAGACTGTGGATTTCCCTCTCTCACAGATCTCTACTACATTACACTGTGTTCATTAAAGAAAAGTGAGTTTTACATTTATTGATACAAATCAAATTTCAGTGCTTTAGAAAATACTCCACAAAGAATTTTTCTGTAATTTGTGATGATGGAAAAAGCATGATAGTGGTATGTTATATATATGGTGCCTTTTGTAGGATGGAGCTGACAGATGGCTTTGCCATTCTTCTTATATATGCAGCCCTAAAACAGATGCTCACACAATATTCCTAAAAACTGCTTACCATCCAGTGCCTTTCTGGTAAGTAGGGATATTTAATAAAGAATAAGGTCATGAATATACACTAGCCTCTAGCTAGGTCCTCTAGCAAGCAGTTGTAAGAAAATAAGCATTGTTAACATTGAGTCATCTACAGTAACAAACCATAAAATAATACAGCCTAGAGAGGGAAAAGACCGATTAAGTCATCCACTCCATCTCCTGCCAAGGCAGGCTTCTTTTCTGCCATATATTATTAAGTGCTTTGTTCAGCCTAATTTTAAATTATTCAAGCAATTTGATATTCACTCTTCCCTTCAGGAGACTACTCTCCAATTCAATTCAGAGGTATGTTTATTTATTCCTTGCTCTATAAATAAAATGTTCTTTGCCTATCTGCACTACCTCAAAAATTTCTTTTCAAATTCCTTTTTTCTTTTAAATTTGTTTTATTACTATTGGAGCTGAGATGTAAAATGGGCTACGTAATGGACTTTGGATGAAACAAAGACATGAAGTTCTCCTGGAAAAGTAAATAAAAGGAAGGTGTTTTCTTTGGGTTTGTTTGTTTGTTTAATTTTGCACTGTATCTTTATACACCTCACAAACCAAAGCCAAATAAAATAGTAGCCTTTGCACACTGTTGAATAACTTCTCCAGCCTGCCTCCAACTATGGCTGTGGCAGTAAGCATCCCAAGCAGCAGTGGGGGAGATATTTTGGGAGCCATGCAAGAGACAAGGAGGCAGGAAGGCAGGGAGGAATGGCTGCCCAGCACCCTGACAAGTGAGCTCACTGCCCATGGACTGTCCTTGGCAGCAGCAGCTTCCTGCAGAGCTGTGCATGTGGTGGTGTGGTTCTGACTCGAGCATGCCAAGGGTTTCTAAACTTTTATGCTTCTCAGAAATGTAAGATCAGCTCAGGAAAGCCCTGCAGACCTTGTTGGGTCCTGTGGATTGCTGGGAGAGGTGTCACAAGGGGAACGACCAAGCACTAAATGTACAGGACAGCAGAAAACACAGGTAAATTATTACAAGGAATGATTAAAAGCATGTGCAAGGCATAAAAAAATAACAAAGAAATACATTTTTAATCCCAGGTGTTCATCTGTGCCATGTCAAGTGTTCCAGCAAGCTCGTCCCCAGCCTTATGCTCCGGTACACTTTACAAGAAGTTTTCAGGTAATGGGAGTTTAAAAATTAACTGGTGCACCCTGTGCTGCACACTCATGAGCCAGAGCCCTTTGAAGTGGGTAGAAAAATCCCCACAATGTCAAAGGGCTTTGAAGCTGGCTCTGGGCACAAAGAGACAGTGGTTAATTTTATACTGGGACACAGAGGAGCTCTGCCACCCCTGCCACCCCAGCAGGGAACAGCTGCTGGGGACACTGCAGGGCAGATCCCAGGCATGGATGTTGGGCAGCCAGCCAGCACAGCATCCATCCTGCAGCCGTGCCTCTGGCTGGCACCTGCCTCCTGCTAGCCAGATTTAGGAAATGCAGAAGGACAAGGGAAAAGTAATCTGCCCTTCCTCTAAGCGGTACAAAGGTTGGGTCTTGGGATAAGCAGCAACTGCCAAGTACTCCCCTGGGAAGCCAGTTCAGTTGGCAGCAGGAATGAAGAGCAAGCTTAGCATGGACTAGCTGAAAGCACTGTGAATACTCAGAAACACATTAAAGGGTAAAACCAGAACTGGAGCAAAGAGGACACAATGTGGCATTGAACTGCTGCTCTCCCTGCAACTGCAACTGCTAAAGAAAATGCTCAAAATTTCCTTTGAGCAATCATACAGAAAATCCTGAGGTCTGGCAGCAGCCAAGAACAGCAGCTCCTTTATCCAGGTCTTCTTTTCCAATCTTCTGATGAAGGAAGAAGGGATTAACCCGTGCCTGGTGACACAAAAGTACAAAGTCTTGCTCCTGAGCACCCAGAGGGCACTACAGAGGGAGAAGGCAGTTTCCCAGCCAGCACGGAGGCACAGATCCACAAAGGCATCACCCAATGTGGCCATCAGCCTGACACATCCTCCTGCCACCAGGTCCTGCCTCGCTCAGCAGCTCCTGCTGGGGACAAGCCAGGGAGCCTACCAGCTGCTCTGACACCCCAGTCTCCCCCTGTGGCTCTTGGGGAGCCGGACAACAAGAGCTCCATTCACTCCCTTCCCATGCTGCTGTATCTCAGCCCCAGCCCTGCATCCCTGGGGTGGCCCCACTCCGATGTGATGGCACTGCTAAGATGCACAACACCAGCCTCAAAGCACTGCTGAGGGACTAACCAAGGCCAGGGAGTGGAACCTCAGCATCACCCTATGGATACTGTAT